TCACAGGCAATTGATCATTAGGAAGATGTGCATATTATCATTAACCTAGTTTTAATGAAGCCATTAAAGGGGCAGCACGGACTGTAAAGAGAAAATTCTAAATTTTATTTCTCCAAGATATCAGGTCAATATTTGGCTTAACACCTTTTTGACATACCGATTTTTTTTAAATGTATGGATAAAGTAAAGTATGTATAAATGTTAGTCTTGATGAAATATCCAAACTTAAATATATTTTGACACTGGTCGATGATCGTTGAATGACCCCCCTGTACTAATTGTTGCACCTTTGAAGTAGTGTTAAAATATAGTTTATGTACACTTCATGATCATGATGGTTTGATTTGGAATAAATATAAAATTTTAGATCTTTCTGTTTATTTGGGCTTAACGTCCATTACACGAGGACCACTGGGGGCCACTAGGCTCTCATCAAAAATAAATGTATAAATAATGCAAACAGCAACGCCATCTTTCAATTGCATTGCTAAAAATTGACATATATAAATTGTTTTTGGTGTCAAATGAAAGATCTGGTACTATCCATTTGGTAATACTGTGAAGATGAAAAGTGAGACTTCATTTACGCATTTTGTGCCTTTAATTAAAGTAAAATAAATTGATAGATTACATGTTTGATTAAGTTAATATTGTAAAAAGGATTTAAAAACCACAAAACCATAACTTCATAACCCAAGATGTTGTCATGGGCATTTCTGTAGATGTCCAATTTTACGGTCACCTCTAGAAACTATCCCAAAAAATATTTTCATTAATGGTAATCCAAGGCCCGAGAATACGGTATGCAGCTAGGGTGTGCCAGAAAACAATACACAAGTTTAAAGACGAATGCCATATGATATTATGTTAAACCATGACATGTGTTAAATATAATTTTCAACCATTTTGAAATCCGCAGTGGATGATTTTTTGGTCGCTCATGAAACCCCCTTGCGTCAATTTCAACCTCTTTCTCGACAAGGAAACAAAGGTTTTTCAACCAGATGGTGTCATATTGTTATATGAAATAATTTTTCTTTCAAATGAAATATAATACGTGGCATGATACAATATGCATTATACCACATTATATTCATCTTTAAACTAGTATGTTGTTTTTTACAACCCCATACAATACGATACAATACAATGCAAAGCATCGTCATAAAATAGATGCATCATTACCATAGGGGTATACCAAACAAGGAGTGTTTTATGATTTCATAAATTATATAAAAAGAACATACTTTCGTAAATGCGTCTAGTATACAACACGTTGAACATACCTAAATACCGCCAACACATAAAAGTTAACGTGGTGACCTGAAGTTGTTTGTAATTAGACATGTAGCTTACTAATATGAAATGCTAAGAAAATAAGTTTGCTGACAATTACATACTTCTATTCCTCACTGCCCGGAATGTTATCTGGCTCATTCGGGTTGTAATTTTACCCACCATGCCCTGTACCAACCCGGATAAAAAGTTGCTATACGCAAGAAAACCAAAGCAACGAGGTTTTTTAACAGCCCGGGGAAAATTAACAACCAGGAGCTGACTGACAAAAGAGCTAATTTTTACAGCAAGGAAAATGACAAAACGGGGTAAAACCCCCCAAAAATGGCCAATGGCGTAGCTACATGTAAGTCCACATGTTCGCCAAGTACGCAGACGCATAATTTTAATATTTTAAGAAAAATACACCTTCCAAGATCTGTGATGAAAAATAAATATTCCACAAAAATGTAAAAATATATCAGGTCAAGATCGAAAATCGTATCGCAAGCTTGGTAAAAACAGAACAGGAAAACAGTTATGTTTTACGTAATTTTGCAACCTGTCTAGCGATATTATAGGGAGGTATGAGGATTAAGTGAACATTTTACCACGACTAGGCTACTATTGACTTTAAACTCAACATTCCCCGATATAAGATCTTCAATTTGGATATGATCTATTCAAATATGAACGTACGATATCTAATGCATAGAAGTACAAAACGGATGATCTGAAGATAATGTAGCTCATATTGAAAAAATTAGCCCCAGTGATCCGGCGCACGAAATGGTACTGATCACTCGGGGATCTTCCCGGGAAAATCCCGTATTTTCCAGATTATTTTATTGTTTATGTTGTTAAAAACGGGAAATCTGACGGGCGTACAGTGAAAATTCAGACTTGCTACGTCTCTGGTGACTCGACGGTGGATGCAATTTTCGCAAAATGTATCCTCTCTGTTTAAACCCGGTTACTTTTCCCTTTTTTTCCAAGTAATTTTTCGTATCGTATTTGATATGAACTAAAATTATTTGCTAGTTATTCAAGAATGGAATTATGTCAGCTATTATCCTTAAGTATTATTCATTATTATTTAATTATTTTAAATATAATTTCATGCTTACCTTCTCTCGTGCAACTGAAATTATTGCAAGAAGGTTTCCAAATACTCCCAATACGGAAAATGTTACTGCAAAAAACATGAAAACTGCAAACTTTCCGGGGGATTGTTCCACATAAGGAGGGTAAGTCCATTGAAAACTCTGATCAGATTCGTTTGTTGTATTGATTCCGACAGAGGTCACTTGATGGAACTCCATATTCCCTTATTGTTAATTTTCCTAATTCCCAATTCTCAGATGTTACAATTTAAATCTAAACTCGTTTTCGTTATATGAATTACTATGCGCAGCTCGTTTAGTTTACCAATAAAAACTGCAAAACACAACAATAAATTTAACTATAATTTATTTTGTTGATAGGGATTGACCATTTGGATAAGGAGGGTAAGTCCATCGGAAACTCTGATCAGATGCATTCGTTGTATTCACTCCGACTGAGGGCACTAGATGAAACTCCATATTACCTTTTTATTAGTTTTATGTGTTACTAATACAGCTTCGTTACTTATGTTACTAGGCTTCGACTAGGCATGGGTTGGACGTTTCCCAGGGGACGTTTACCACACTTTGTGTCATGCAAGTTCCAAATTCACAGAAGTTACAATATAAAGCAAAATGTATTTTTATTTTATGATATATTGCTATGAGCAACTCGTTTACCGAAGAAAGAATGCACAAAACCTTTATTTTGTTGATAGGGGTGAACCATTATATATAATATGTGGGTAATGCTAATTCTCAATTCTCAGACATTACAATAAAAACAAAACAACATCCTACATTGTGTGATATGCAGGATTTAAGTTTATTGCATCCCCATGTTAAGTCAATGGCACCTTTGCTGAAATCCTCATTTTCTGAGAAGAAATCAATTTGACGAGTCTAAATAAGTAGATTCATGTGGGAGAGTATTGGTTGAATCTATTTTCAATAGTAAGGACACATCGCAAAAAGGTGGCGCATTTGTGTTTTTAGGGTATCACATGAATGTAACTTTAATTCTTCGGAATATATAGAGATTATCCCATATACGATAATATTCTAATTGAAGTTATATATAATTTTAAAGCTGCTTTAGTGTAGTTTTCAAATCAAGTACACTCCTTTCACAATTCTTGCGCGTTCTTATGTTTTTTACCCAAAAATCTGGCAAATATCCGCTGTCGGATAAAGGTAGATGGAAGGGTTATTTCAAAGGATGAATTCTAGTAACACCCCAGTCACATTTCCTATGGTGACCATGCGATCTATCATTTCTGCGGTCAGTAACATTTTTACGCTCGCCGTAGAATTTTTGCAGCCAGATACTTTTGCAGTCACATTTCCTAAGGCGGCCGCATGTCGAATTTTGAATTTCTGTTGATAAACCTTATGTTTATTTTTATATTATCTACATTAGTAAAATTTATAAATGTTATTTACGATAAAATATGTTAGGAAAAAATATCAAATAAAAAGTGTGTAGTGAAATTTTGACCAATAATAACTTAATATTTTGTAGAATAGGTTGCTGTGGTATCAGTGACCTTACATTAAAACAGTATACCTATCGCGTTGTGTTCACAGCAAAGATATGACAGCAAATCTGACCTGAAAACTGTTTCCAGAGGTACATAACTCATAAAAACACTACGACAGACGCAAGTCAACGTAAGCCCGACGTGCAGCCACCGTGAAAAGGTTCTGCGATCTGGCAACATTTTTACGCTCGCTGTAGAATTTATGCAGCCAGATACTTTTGCAGTCACATTTTCTAAGGTGGCCGCATGTCGAATTTTCAATTTCTGTTGATAAACCTTATGTTTATTTTTATTTTATTTACATTAGTAAAATTCATAAATGTTATTTTCGATAAAATATGTTAGGATAAAATATCAAATAAAAAGTGTGCAGTGAAATTTTGACCAATAATAACTTAATATTTTGTAGAATAGGTTGCTAACTTTTTGCGACATGTCAAGAATAGGGGTTCTAACAGGACATTGGGCTTCCTTTTTAGAACTTTTTGTTGGCTCTGAGACTCAATCAGGCTGGTCTAGTCTCGATCGACTGACTGCCTGACTGACTAAGCTTACTGAATCTAGGAGACTTGCTAAAAGACTCGTTAACACTACTGAATGGAGGTTTCGATGCTGCTCATATTGACATGTCGCCAACCTGCCAAGGACCAAAATATTTCAAAGTCCTGATTCTAAGTCAGTCTCCAAGTCAGTGTTGCCTACATGACAAATGAAAAGAAAAGAGTTTTTTAAACTCACCGAAACACTCAATTATGGTAATAAGTGTTTATTTTCTCAACTTTGACCAGAAGCCATCACCCGGAATGTCTATAAGCGTAGCCTATTAGATATTAGTATTATATAAAGATATATAATACTTGCAGTTGATAATACAACGAAGAAAAGGGTTACTACAATAGGCCCAAGCTCATATTGAATCTGAACTTGTTTTCAGAGGGACCAGACCAGGGACTAAAAGCTATATGATACTTGTAGTTGATAATACAACGAAGGAAAAGGTTACTACATTATAGGTCAAAGCTTCATATTGAATCTGATCTGATTCAGTGATCGAGTTCAAGATCTCGTGCACTTGCACCTTTCAAGCAACGGTAGCGACGGTAGTATACTCCTGTCTCTTTTTGCAACAGAAAATCAAACTTATCGTGTTCTTATAGCCCCTCCTAAAGTACTTGCTGATTATGACGTAACACAAACAATCTAATCCTGGTTGCATATGACCAAGTAAAAAAGCAAACGCCCAAAAGTCTCTCCCATAATTCATGATATGGTGTGACAGGAAGGCAACAAGGCAAGGTAACCATATCAACAAGGAAATGAAGATGCCCGTTAGCAATCGTTCAGTCATCGCAATATCATCAATTTCTTGTCGAAGCTCTTTTGCGATGTCTTCCGTATTGTAGTTTTTATCATTTGCTCTAGCATCACTCGCGGCCCTCGCGGTAGCATTCATCAATGATATATAAGGAGCTATCGTGGTCAACTGGGAAAAAACATAATTTAAATAAGAATCGTAATATCTATGCACAGATGCCAAATGGCATTAGCTTTAAATGAAACATATAAAAAGTACAGCCGGTATAATAAAGGCAAACTTTATGCATCCTAAAGTACAATATACTAGTAACTATAAACATTGTTGATGTAAATATATTTTTAATGATTTGCAACGTACATAATCATGAACTTAGACTTATAATCCTTATTTTTCTGAAGATATATCTTAAACTTTCTTCACCTAGTTACTGTAGAAATATGACTGGTTGCCAATTCAAAAAATAATTGTTCTTTTCCAATTTAATGCCAAATAAATCACTTTCGACAAAAACGATATTTTCCATTAAAACTAAAACAGTAATTTACTATAGACAGTGTACATGTAGGCTAAGTAGAAACCGAGACTAACATATTATTATGGTCTCAGGTAGAAACTATCTAGACTATGCATTTAAAGATCCAAATTTACCTGCTGCCTCTTCGCTTTTATTCTGAGATGTGCGACGATGATAGACACAAAGGAAAGACTGACAGACACACATAGTACTGCACCAACGAACATATTGGATGGCATATCATCAACGTCAAACACACATGTCATGGCCTCTGGGTCAAATTCCATACCACCCCAGCTTATGAATATTGGTATCATAGTGAGTACGGAAATGCACCATGGTATAAAAGCGAAGATTGGCGTGGTTCTCCAAGTAAACATGCGCCTGTATTGCTTTGGAGAGCAAACTAATATCATCCTTAAAACAAGGAAATACAATTGAGTATTAACCTTATTAAGTATTATTTGGTAAATGGGTACCATCAAGCAAGCATTTGCTCATACAGAAATGTCAGCGTTTTTACTGGTAGCGATGTTTTTGAAATTAAATTTATACAATTCTCCAGTTGGACATTCCTAATACATATAGCTATATCACACTCTGTACCTCTAATTTAAAAGAGATAGCCAAACGTCCAATAATCGTTAAAAGTAGTATGTAACTATGGGTAACTATTAACATTTTTTTCACACCTTTTCAAAGCCTTAATACAGCACGTTGCCGTGTTTATATCATAGTGATCCTTAATGAAGCATTTGGAGTGAATACTCATCTTTAAGTTAATAAGGGACGGTTTAATTCATTTAATTAATTGCTTTGCTTATTATTTGAAAGGATTATGCATTTTCATTATCATATATTAACGAGATCGAGTCTCCTAAAAACACAATTAAAGCAACCCCCTGATTTTTTCGTGATATTTGATGTAAAACAAGTTTGTTTATCAACTTATCAATGCTGAGGCTTGAATTAATTCGTTAACAGTTTCAATTCGATGATTGTTCCTAGCCATGAATTTCCACTTACATCAGTAGAAATTAAAAAGAAAAATTAAAAAGCCCGCTCAAATTTGTTCCAGTCTGATTGGATTTTTCCTTCAGTTTGAACAGATTGTTTTGGTTCAGAGGAGCCATATTTATTACTTCTAAGGTGTTAAAATATAGATAAATCCCCAAAACACATTGTTTATCGTTTTCAACTTATTGTGTTCAATTCTGACAGTTGGTTGTTCTGTTGGTTGTCCTGTTGATTTCCTAAATATATGGTGATAATGTGCTTCTGATTTGGTCTCAAGATATATCTAAGGTATATATGATGTTTTATGAGCAATTATATTGGGACATGACTGATTGTCCAGAATAGAAATCTGGATGACTGGATCTCTTTTTAATATTAGTATGAGGAATCATTTTCATTATGAAATGACGCTTTTACCAAAGTTAGAGTTGATGTGAAATAAGTTGGGGAATTCACTTACAGTTAGGGGGTTTCTCCACAGCTATCGTTGTTAGGGAAATTACGTCACATTACATTTGACTTTCACAAGAGCGGGCTACGAGTATTACGTCATCAATATCCGTTGGATTGTATGGAAAAATTCATTGATTTGTTTTGGGCAATTTCAAACAACGGCCAAATACTTTCACTTTCGTTATTAGAGCACTTTCACATTTGTTAAAGCGAAAGCGTATTTATTGTATTTAATTGATGAAAATGAATCTAATTAATGATATTCTTAAAAAAACTCATTTTATTGTTTTCTAAACTTTTGATAGTAATTATATACACATTTTAAGTGAGTCGATCATTAGCATATCGCGGTGATACGACTTGAAAAACACAGAGATACACTTTTTCGATTCACTTGACCATCTTAACACCATACTTACCGGTTCACTGCTAGGCCAGTTATACACCAATATGCACAAGAGCACGATATATAACACACTGTTCCTACAAATTCACATAATTTGACTCTGTGGTAGAAGTACACCTCTCCTAGTACGACACCTACATAAACAGATTATTGTATACATGGTCATATAAAAAGCTGTTTAAATCTCGAGATGAAAGCCATGGTCATGTATCAAAAGTTAGGCAAATGCTTGGTGACACCAATTTAATGGTTTGATTTCAGCATTACACGTAGACGTAGCTGTTTAAAACGCGACTGCAACGCGTTACAGACCAATATGGAGGCAACTCCGATTATCTGAGCCACTACTTCAGCTATTTTCTCGTAATATAGGTATTTTTGAAATCTCATGCTTTATATTCGCTGAACAACCCCTCAAGGTATGTAAATCCATGAAGAATTCTGATTGGGCATTGACCAGTGTAAATAAATAGTCAACACAAATTATGATTTCCCGATCCTATTTTTCTTGAACTACAGGGTGGGCCAAAAAAACCAATACCCAACTTCAAATCAGGATAAAAATACTTATGTTCAATATGATACATTGACTTATGTATCATTTTAAAGGTAATACATTTTCAAACAATTTGGTATATAACACTATGACATAAAATCAATAGTAAAGGTGTATTATACTTATTTGGGAGGCTGGGTCGCTATTTAAGGTCTCTAGATTTTAGGGAGAAAACAGTAAATCTGTGGAATTATGTAAACTTTTTATTCATAGAATATCATTTTGTTAGGTGAATACATGCATGTTTATTTGCATCAATGTGAGACTAAACTTATTGTTTATGAATTTCAGTGTTGTTTAATAACATTTTACAATTTATTTATTTAAACAATTGCTTAATATGCCCCCCCCCCCTATGCGTCAACAATAAGCCTCAAGCGGTAGCGCCATCTATCAACAGATCACTGTTGCAATACATTCCAGCAATTAGGATTCCGCGGTTCAGCTAATCACTACTTTTTATTGGATGCTTGTGACTGTACACCATTTCCTGGACCCATTACCATACATGGAGATGGCTCCATGTATGGTAATCCACCACATTAGCATCGGGCTGCTGGGTGGCCAAGCATCTGGATCAGTCAAATTGACAACTTGTTCGTGAAGGAATGCCAATGTCACCTTTGATCTATTGGACAAGGCACTGTCTTATTGAAAAATACCCCCCCCCCCCAACCACATATACGTTTTATGTCTTTTAACATACCTCTTTAGAGTACTTATTGATAGTAATCAATACTGAAATTAATAAAAAATAAGTTAAGTCACAAATGATGCAAATATACAAGCTTGTATTCACCTAACAAAATGATATTTCATGAATAAAAAGTTTACATAATTTCAAAGATTTACTGTTTTCTCCCCAAAATCTAGAGACCTTAAATAGCGACCCAGCCTCCAAAATAAGTATAATACACCTTTACTATTGATTTTATGTCATAGTGTTATATACCAAATTGTTTGAAAATGTATTACCTTTAAAATGACATATAAGTCAATGTACCACATTGAACGTAACTATTTTTATCCTGATTTAAAGTTGGGTATTGGTTTTTTTTGGCCCACCCTGTATATTCTATTTCCAATTAAGGTGGTGGTATATCGCAACTAATGAGCAAATTTGACGTTGGCATTCAATGGCCTGACACATGCAGAATAAACACTAGTGCAAATTAAGATTGAAACTTTTGTTGTTTTTTTCTCGAAAACTGCCTTCCCGTTCAAGTACACTCCTTATGTTTCTAGATATTTTTCAAATGGTTCAAAGTACGTCCGATCCGTTTGTACACAGTTTAATTAAGCCCGTTTTCGGGGGGGGGGGGGGGGAGGGTTCTTTTGGGTATTAGGTATTTGTAAAATTCTGTTGGTTTAACCCACTTTTCAGAGAGCATCTCCTGATTTCTCCTTTTTTGAATTAGATATCTTCTTGTAAATCTCTTCGAGTCCAATGTGATGGTTATGTTTAGAACAGACCAGCACATAATTCTATGATTCTTAAGTAACTGCCTAAGTTATTATTTTGTAAAATTAAATGGAAGTTTAAAGTGAAAGTTACCTGCTATGTTAAATGGCAGCACACATCCAGCCACTAATATATCAGCAGCAGCCAATGACACAATACACATATTTTCAGGAACTCGTAGGACCTAAAATTGAAGGCATGACTATACTAACTGCATAAAAATAGTATTGTCGTTGCAAAGTTAAAAATATTAAAAGCATGCTGTGCAAGCCAAATGCTACCCTGATGTGGTTGTAACAACTAAGCATCTTCAAATCTGCGTCCAAATACTAGGATCACGTTATATGTGTGCAGTTTATGTCAACTCCGCATGTAGGACTTATGTTATATGCATGTGGTACGTCATATGCATACTATACAGTGCTTATAAAAAAAACGCAACAGATTGTTATCTCGAAAAAGCACAAAACCAGTGATAACAATGCACCATAAAGCCATGTGTCTCCTCTTTACAGTTTAAAGTTTAAAATAGTTTATTTAAGTGTCACACGTATACAATTCACACTAAAAAACAGTTTAAATATACATACACATGTAGAGGTAAAATAATAGTCCCCGATCTGATTTCCAAAAGGGCTCTAGAAAAGGGGTTTTGTTGTCCAGTACTTTCCCACATAAAATGATTGTACCGTTTGAAAGAACAGACTTCCCTCTTAAAGAAAACACCTCTTCTATTGATGTAAACAGGGGCAAAAGGCACCAAAACGGGGTTAGACAAGGTGGCATTCTGAAGTCTCACTTTCTTGTCATCACGATTCCAGGTAAACCATTAGACAGATTTACTTCAAATTTTCACACATGTTACATGGTAAGAAGTTCTAGAGCTGATTAACTTTGCGGCGGCCATCTTGCATTCTGGCGGCCATCTTGGAATTTTTTTCAGATAAATATTGTCATTGCGATTCCACAAAAAACACATAACAGATGTATTTCAAATGTTCACACATGTAACATGGTAAAAAGTCCTAGACCTCATTATTTTTTCGGTGGCCATCTTTCAAACGGTACAATCATTTTATGTGGGAAAGTACCGGACAACAAAACTTTTTTTCAGAGGGTCCAGATCAGGGACTATAATAATATGTACACGTCCAGCCGTTGCCGACTTATGAGACACTGAATAAAATTTACAATAAAAATAATTTACGTCGTTTAAACATTTGATTGAAAGACATATTTCAGTTTGGAACAAAATACTCAATCGGCGGCCGATGAATCGCAGCAAATGTGACCCATGCATTAGCAAGGAAAATACATTTGACCCAAAAATCCCTTGCTGAATCCCTATATAGATAGGATATATCAGGGTCTACACAAATATTAAATGAAGGTTCCAACAAAAACTTTATCAGTAATCTTAACAACTAGATAAGCCATTTATCTGATAAAATCATATCTATCAATTTCTTGATTGCAGATTATTAAAGAGGTATGTCGGGAGGGGGTCCAGGATCTTGATGCGAGATTAATATAATTCTTAAATCACCAGAATATCATTCAGATTTAATCCTATTATTTGAAATTAAAACTGAATACATCAAAAAGTGAACTATTAGTTTGTATTTTGAATGCTAAGAATGTAATTCTACATAAATCAAGAATACCATTCAAAACCACTACTGGTGTCAACTATCAAGGTGCTTCTCCAAACATCCGGCCACAATTGCGCGATTGTGTCAGGTAATTAGCACTATTTATGTTTACACTACTTATTAGAGATGTCAAATCATGGGTTCATCAAAACAGCATTATGACTGTTCAATAGCAGCAAAATATTGCAGAATTTAGTCTTTCATGTTTTAACAATATCTATTGTTATTGAATAAATGAAGATGAGGGGGAAGGATAATAACCAAGCTGCATGTCTCCGAGCTTTGATGCGCAAGTAATGATCGTACGTGACACGCACACAGGTGGTTGACAGGGGAAAATTTAGCTTGTCGAATAATCAATGTGTACGAGTAGTCAATAATCATAAAGCCATACTGTGAGACACATTGGCGCAATTTAGCCAGACAGTCGTTTACTCCACCCCAGGAACACGACGAAGCCTCTTGTAAGTGAAAATTTATCTTTTTATTTACCTTTATATTTCCCTTAATGGAGAGATGATTGAGTTTTGAAATAAGCAGGTTACGATGAATAAAAAACACAATAAAGACACTTGACATATTGTTATAAGATTTAGCATTGATCTTGATAATTTAATAAATTGACTGTCTTGGAAGGTCCATGATACTGTACGGCTGAATAGTATGCTATAAACTGGTGTCTTTGTATCGTTGATTAAAATACACAGCAGTGTCTTTGTATCTTCAGAGCAGTGTCTTTGTGTGCAGTGTCAAATTTCTCGCAAAATGATAGCTGAATTGACATAGATATTCAGAAACTTGTAGAAGAAAGGAGTTTGAATGGAAAAAGCAGAATTCGGTATCGTACGAGAATTCGCTACCGGAAGACAGGTCATATCTTGCTACGAAAACAGTTGAAAATACAGTTTTCAAGATCGAGCAATACATTGATTTGGAGCATAAGTTCGCACCATTTTAAAGATAGAAATATAATGTTACAACATATACAATGCAATGTAAATATATTTATTTAGTAGCCAATTTATTTTGGGCCAAAACATAACTAGACATGTTAATTGAACAAGTTCAATTTAAGACTCCAGATTTCAGACTTTTTTTAAGCTGAGTCATCCAAATACTTGTAAGCTGAGTCATTTAGAATAAGCTGAGTCAGCTAGAATATAGACATTTAGACAACTCTTAAGAATGTTATCTTCGACTCCATTGGCTTAACATGGGGATTTCATCATATCGACTTTTCGAGACTTCAAACCGCTATAACTATCCAATCAGAAGTTGGATCGAAATTTGGTTTAAAGATTCTGATTCCTGAGAAAAGTCTACCCTTAATTCATAGCTCATATGTTAAATTTGGAGAACTTTTTATTTTGACCTACTTTCCGGACACCATATCTCAAAAGTGGATCAAAATACTTTTTGACGGCAAAAGGCTAACAATATTAGCATACTTTTTGCTATCTGTATACCAAATTTCAAGGAATATTATTTAAGTGTAGTGTCAGATTTGCAAAATTAAGGAAAAACTCAAACTTTGACCTAGATTTTGACCTTGGCTTTTTAGTGTCCAAATTTTGAGACAAAGTAGATTTTGAGGTCAACTATTCTTGTAGGCTTTCATTATGTTGGCTGCATTAAGTCTAAATACCGTGTTTTCTAATTCATAATTTTCTTCAGCCCCATTGACTTAACATGGGGCATCAAAATAGCGATTTTTGAGATTTCAAACCGCCTTCACTTTCAAACCGGAACTTGGATTGAAATTTGGTTTGCAGATTCGGATTCCTGAGAAAATTCTATATATATTTCATGACTCACACCTTGAATTTGGAGATTTTTTGGTTTTGACCTACTTTCGGACGCCATATCTCAAAATCGGTAGGAGTAATCAAAATTCTGATGTCATATCTTTGATTTGCCTTTTTCTAAGCTACACGCTGAAAAAAGGATGAAGGAGTTACGAAGAATATTGACGAAGATATGATGAAGAATGTTGAAAATGTAAGATTTGACCTAGTTCTTGACCTTTGACCTAGATAAAAATTTGACCTAATTTCCCAGAAAGCCAGATACATTTCCTAGTCAACCATGTAGGTTGGATTAAGTAAGATGTTATAGTTGGAGAGAAAATCTGTTAGGAGGAAGAAAGAAAAAGAACAAGATTGGTAAATTGAACAAAGTTCAATTTAAGACTCCAGATTGATTTTCTTGAGTAAAGAGCTGAGTAAGTAACTGAGTAGAAAGCTGAGTACGTAGATGAGTAGGTAACTGAGAATTAGGTAACTAAGTAGGTAGCCGAGGAGGTATGTAGGTAGGTAAGTAGGAATTTTTGAAGTTATATTTGATGGATCTGCATTGTGGATATTGGCAAATTTGAATTTTAAAATGGCGTAGAATCTAAAACGGGAGTCGGATTGAAAGTTACTTTGCAGATTTGGATTCCTGAGAAAATTCCCTTAATTCATAACTCATAAGTTAAATTTGGAGAACTTTTTATATTGACCTATACTTCGGACACCATATCTTAAAAGTGGGTCAAAATACTTTCTGACGGCAAAAGGCTTACACTATAAGTACACTCTTTGCTACATGTATACAAAATTTTGAAGCAAATTATTTAAGTGTAGTGTCAGAATCGTAAAAATAAGAAAATACTATAAATTTGACCTAGATTTTGACCTAGGCATTTTGCTGTCCAAATTTTAAAGCTAGATAGCCTTCGAGGTCCCCTTCTTTTATAGGCTTTCATTATGTTAAGCTGTACTCAGTCTATATCTCGTATTTTACACTTCGAAGAAGTCTTTTTCCCCATTGACTTAACATGGGGCACCAAATTTAGCGATTTTGAGATTTCAAAATGCTATAACTTCTGAACCGGTAGTCGGATCGCAATTTTTATGTTCTGACCTACTTTTCGGACGTCATTTCTCAAAATCGGTAAGAGTAATCAAAAAACGATTTGCCTTACGGAATTACCTTTTTTTCTAAGGAACATGATGAAAAAAAACCGGAGCAAAAATACCGAAGGACGACTGAGAAAACTTGTAAAATAGTGAAAACCCACGATTTGACCTAGTTCTTGAATTTTGACCTACACAACGGGAAACACTATTTTGTAAGCACTACTAAGAAAGAATACGTTATGTGTTATCCATAAGTAATAAGCAAGACTAACTACTAATTCTCAGGAATAAAAAGTTCACACTATTGAGATAGATAGAGCTTATCCTCGGACCAGTTACGTCTTATCCGTGTGTCATATGACTAGTACTGTGTTAATTAACTAAGTAAAGTATTCCAATTTAAAAAGTGTTGTATGTTTGCATGCAGCAAGCGTTTAATAATTCTTTGCATATATAAAATTGTCCATAAAAGAGTCTGATATATAATATTGTCCATAAAAGATTGGTCTGATAATTACAAGTAACTCATGTTTATTTTAAAACTAAACTTTACGAATTCATGATAAGTGTATAATATGTTCAATCATACAAATGCGCAGTCAGTGATTGTT